AAAAGATACCTTTTGAAGAAAGAGTTTTTATTGGAGGATATTTAAATGGACATGTTGGTAGAGAGCTAGAGGATTTTAAAAGTATTCATGGTGGCTATGGGCTTAGAGCGACTAGTGAATGTGATAAGACTATAATAGATTTTGCTCTAGCTTATGATTTTGTAATTACTAATACCTTATTTAAAAAAATGAGCTTTTCATCACCTATAAAAATGGATATAATAAAACTCATATTGATTATTTTCTTATAAGAAAAATAGCTCGTTTAGATTGTAACGATTGTAAAATTATTTCAAGTGAAAGTTTATGTACCCAACATCACTTATTAGTTTTGGACTTTAAGATTAAGGAACGGAATATAAAAAATATAGTAAAACGTTATTCTAAATTTAATTGGTGCGTTTAAAAATACTAACAAAAATATTTTTGAGAGCAAAATTTAAGATCTTAAAATTTTGTTTGTGCATAAGAAAGTGAATGTTATGTGAAAAAAATAGCTAGTAATATTAAGATTGTTATAAAAGATGTGCTTTGAGTTTTAAAAGAAAAAGCTCGAAATAATAAAAATAATTTGTGGTGGAATCAAAATGTGCAAGAAAAGATCCAAAATAAGAATCTTTGTTATAAAAATTGATTTAGATGTAAAAACTTTAAAAATTGGGAAATATATAAAGAGGCTCGTAAAGTGTCTAATAAAGCAATCTGCGATGTAAAGATTTTAGCTTTTAATGATTTATTTAATAGATTAGACTCTAAAGAGGGCAGAAGATATTTGTATAAGTTAGCAAAACAAAGAGATAAGAATAGTAAGGATTTAGTTCAAGTGAAATGCATTAAGCACGAAGATTAAAAAGTACTTTTTTTAAAAGAGAATATTAACAAAGGTGGATGAGAAATTTGCTAAGCTTTTCAATGAAATTGAAAGAATACGATTGACTTTAGTGACCTTAGCACTCTAAATGAAAATAGAGATTTTTATTTTTATTGGCATATTAGTAAAATTGAAGTTAGAGAGGCTTTAAAGAAAATGAAGTGTGAAAAAACTAGTGAACCTAGTGATATTCCAAAAGGTGTTGAAATGCTTAGGCGATAAAGGAATTTCTTGGCTTACAAAACTTTTTAATATTATTATGAAGACAAAAATATATCAGATTGATTGGAGAACGAGTGTGTTGATTTCTATTTTTAAGAATAAGGTGATGCACAAGATTGTGCCAATTATAGAGGAAATAAATTGATGGTTCATAATTTAAAACTTTGGGAGAGAGTTATGGAGTATAGGTTACTCAACATCAATTTGGATTCATGCCGGGTAGATCTACTGTGGAATATTTATTAAGAGGGTTAATGAAGAAGTTTAGAGAGAATAAGGAGGATCTACATATGATATTTATTGATTTAGAGAAAGCATAGGATAAAGTTCTAAGAGAAATGATATGAAGAGTTCTAGAAAAGAAAGGGGTTAATAATGATTATATTTAGTCATTAGGGATATGTATGAAAGAGCTGTTACTTGTGTTCAAACACAAGGTTGTTTGACCGAGTATTTCCCTATTTCAGTTGGATTACATCAAGGATCAACCTTAAGACTTTTTTTTTCTTTAGTCATGGATGTTCTTACTAGACATTCGTAAGAGGATGTAACCGGGAGGTCGCTTTTTGCTGATGATATTGATCAGACTAAAGAGGGAGTTGAAGGTAAACTCAAATTATGGAGATCAACCTTAGAGTCTAAAGGTATTCATTTAAGTAGATCAAAAATAGAATACGTTGATTGTAATTTTAGTAGCAACATATTTAGTAGGAGTTTGTGACTTTGAGCGATCAAGTCATTAATAAGCGTACTCGTTTTAGATATCTTTGGTCTATTGTTCAGAGTGATGGTGTAATAGATGAAGATATTTTTAGTAGAATTCAAGTTGGATGGTTGAAATGGAGCAATGCATTGGGCTTGTTTTGTGATAGAAAATTCTCTCAAACTTAAAAGAAAATCCTATAAGATGGTAGTGAGATCAGCACTGCATTATGGTGTAGAATGTTGGCCATTAAAAGGGAAGCATAATATTAAGGTCAATGTTGCAGAGATGAATACACTAATGTGGATGAGCGGCTTTACTCTTAGAGACAAGATACGAAATGAGCATATACATAAAAAGGTTGGAGTAGCTCCAGTGGAAGATAAGATTAGAGAGAGTCGCCTTAGATGGTTTGGTCACATAAAACAGCAGTCTTCCGATGACCCGGTTAGGAAAGTAGACGTATTAGATTTGACTTATGTTAAGAAAGTTCGAGTAGACCTAAAAAGACTTTGTTAGAAAATATTAGAAATGACCTTTCTTTATTAGATTTAGCTGAGAATTTGACTCTAAATAGGAAAAAAATGGAGAAAAAGGATTCATGTAGCCAAACCCACATAATAGGATAAAGGCTTATTGCTGTTGTTGAAGTCGTGCCTCGATTCACTCGTCAAATAATCATCGTTCTCTCACGTCAATTCAGCCACGATCCATAGTCGCAAAACTTTCATTTTTCGTCGTTTAGGGGTGCAAATGAGTCGAGTTGATTTCAAGTCAGACCTAACTCAAGCTCGACTCACAAGCCAAATTCCAAGCTTGAACTCGAGTCGAGCTTAATACACGAGCTCAAGCTCAGCTCGTGCCACTGAAAACTTGCTCATCAAATGGCTTGATTCCACCGGTCAAGCTCCGAATTCACATCTGTGACCCATCCCCACCTTCCACAATTCCTCCTGCAGTATCTGAGCTCGCCCCCGCCATTCCGATTTTCACTTCAGCCTTCCACGTTCATGCTCGCCTTCTGCATCTAAATCCCACATCTAAGCCCGCCCCGTGATTCTGCCTTCTTCTTACAAGCCCGCCTTCCCCACCCGAGCCCGCATCATGATTCCGCCTTCCGCGCTTCAGCCTTCTGTGGTTTTGATTTTGCACTTGAGCCACTCAACGAGTAATCGAGCCAAGCATCCTGAGGATTGAACTTGAGCTTAATAATCCAACAAACTTGAAACTCTGCTCAAGCTCATGATTGAAACTCAATAGGCTCGACTCACAAACTCATTAACGAGTCAAGCTCGAGTCGGCTTGACTCGGCTGCACCCCTATCGACAAACCCAGACTAATATGAGTGTTGAATTTAATTGTTTCAGTTTCCCAAAACGCTGTGGTGCTAACTATTTCACGAATGAAGACCATTACGGCGATTTAGGTTTTTAGTCGACCCATATCGGATGGGTTTCGTGCGACGCCGCACTTTTACCTTTTGGCATAAGAACTTTTCATCTTTTGGACAGAAGTTAAATTGGTGTGAAAGCATCAAAGCAATCATTTGGCATATTACTTCACCCAAGAAGAACATAAAATGCCTATTACATGACTGCCACTTAAGTTTCTATTGAAGAAAATCGCGAACGAATTGTGGGCCTGTGGCATAGATTGTCATTGGAGTGCATCTTCCTAAACACCAACCTCTGTTCGTTCTGCAGCTCATGTTAAGTTTTATTAGGTAATAAAATTTATTTTATTAAATATTTTCATTTTAAATATTAGAAAAATATATTTAAAATACTTTTATCAAGAAATATTAGGACACACATGTCAACCATGTGTGCCTGATTTTTTTAAAATATTATCTTATTCGATCACATTTGTGCCGTGTCTGGCACGTATCTCAGTCGTGTCGAGCATGCGTCCATGTTCGACACTTGTCTGACACTATATATCTTATTATGGAGGAGTGTTGGTGCATCATTGGTGGCACATATTATGAGCAATCATCAACCTCTAATGGCAGTATTCCAAGGGTCAAAATACAAGTGAATGGAATATTTTAAAAAGAGTGCTACAAGAATAGGAAAACAATATTTTTCCATTAACTAAGATTTACTCGATACACGCAAGATGCAATAACCACCAAACAACTATGTCATTTTTGACTTGTGCAGAGTTTGTGGAGCCCATCATCACTCAAATATATATACTCACATGTTATCATGTTATCTTGACTTTGTATTTTCGTTTTTTATTTTATCATCGGCTATTTATTGTAATCACTTCATGTCATATTCATTTCATTAACTACAACAACATCAAGCCTTTGTCCCACTATGTGGGGTCGGCTACATGAATCGTTTTTCGCCATTGTGTCCGGTTAAAAGTCAAATTCTCATTTAAATCTAATAAAGAAATATCATTTCTAATATTTTCTAACCAAGTCTTTTTTAGTTCTACCTCTACTTTCTTACATAAGTCAACTAATACCTCAACTGTTCTAACCGGGGTTCATCGGAAAGGCCTCCGTTTATGTGACCAAACCATTAAGGCAACTCTCTCTAATCTTATCTTCCACTGGAGCTACTCCAACATTTTCACGTATATGCTCCATTTCGTATCCTATTCTCTAAGGTCAAGCCACTCATCCACCTAAGCATCCTAATCACTGCAAACACTTAACTTAGTATTTGCTTCTCTTTTAATGGCCAGCTATTCATTTCATTGACTGTTAAAAAAAAAAATTGTCTGAAATACCAATTCAAAAAAAAAAAAAAAAAATCATGCATGTGTATACCACTAACAGCTTAGTAATGATAGTTAAAGATTATAGCAGGCACAAATGAACACAAGCAAGAACGAGAAGTTTGTTCAGGATGGTAGAACTGTTTGCAAACAGTTCAATGACAATTCAAGCCCGTTTTTTTCATACCCAAAACCAATAGATCCACTTATAATTATTCCAAACACTTACGTTAGCCATAAAAGTTAATGGAATGGTACACAATGGTGCTAATGCTTTGTTTGGTACATCTTTCTGACTGTTCTTAAGCAGTTTTTTAGTTAAAAAAAATTTTTGCATAGAAATTTTTGTACTAAAAAGTTGTTTTAGAAACCAATAAAAAAGTTGTCCCAAAAGAAGTCTAAATCAAACGAGCAAAAAGATGCACATTTTAATCGCTAGCATGAAGTGAATTTGAGCAATAAGCATTTTACCTGATGAGTAGACAGGAAGAATACGTTTGGATCATCATAAAATGCATCACATGTTCCATTACCATGATGAACATCAAAATCAATAATTAGAACCCGACTTAATCCATGCACATGTTGAGCATAGCGAGCAGCAACAGCTATGTTGCCAAATACACAGAAACCCATGGGACCATTTGGAATTGCATGATGACCTGGTGGCCTGATTAAGGCAAATCCTATTGGTGGGTTTGGGCTGTTTATAGAAGCTGACACCTAAGAAAAACATATAAATACTTATTAGCAAAACTACGATAATGGACCCATTCCTAATATCAACATACGCACAGGCAGTGTTCAGAAACATAACTCATGTTTTTCAGATCAAAATAAGGCATAGGATTGCAGCATGTTAAAAAAAAAAAAAAGGTTGCAGCATGTTCATATGAGAAGTTCAGAAAGGGTACATAAATATAAGAAAACAATCCAAGAAGGATACATAAACTTCTTTTCTATTTTCCTATTGTTATTCTTATAAAGCAAGTTAGGTTTACAAGGGGAGATGGCTATCAATGAAATCATACAGAAGATTTTTTTTTTTTTTTCAACTTGTGAAGGCATGAAATGTATTGTAAGAACTACAAGGCTACGGTTCATTAAAACTATTCACAACCCTTAAATCACCGCAGCCTGGATACAAACCAAGCTAGAATTCATCTCTATTTCTTGCACTTCTTGCAATTCTTGTCCAAACCATTAGATGCCAAGCAGATAACTGAAAGTTCTTACAATACTCTGCCAATAGCCTTGTCCGCCTGCAGCATATGGTTTGGACAAGAATTGCAAGAAGAAAGTCAAACAAAAGCAGAGTCAAACAAGGAATGCACATAGGGAAGAAGTGCAAGAAACTAAAGAGCAAGGAGATGTGCAAGGCAATACAAAAGTGGTGCAGTGATCTCATATGTGCTGGCATATGGTGAATGTTAGAAAATCATAATACGAAAGGTTTATATTACAAGAGTTTGATTTGGGGAAATAAGCATTTATTCCCTCTTAAGTGTGATAATTCTCTCTTTTATTTGTTTCCTATTAAAATCATCTTGTACAGGCAAATATAATCAAAGAATAAGATACATCAATTTTTTCTCTTAATATAGTATCAAAGCTAGGCTAAACCCTGACATCATTTTCCTCACCCCACCCCTCTCTTTGCAATATTGGCTCTAGCTCGACCTTGCCCAATCTGCCTTATCGCAGCCATGCCCCCACATGCTCTCTCATTATTCAGCTGCCAGCACCCGCATATTGGTCCGCCCAATACAGTGGTCTCCCACATTAATGCTCACTAACTCTCTACTGCACCCGTACAATTTCCACCCACTGAACACTCAAATCTTGCTATGCTGCCACACATTGCTATGTTCCATTGCCTGCCACTCTTTGCTTGCATGCACTCTCTTGCTACATGTGCTCGTTGTTCCACTCGACATACGCATGCCCTTGTTCTTCCTCATTGCCCCCTTTCCCTCTTGCTCGATGCTTCGAGTTTCTCTTCGATTCAATGTGCCGCTCTCCCCCGACAATGTCATGGCTTTGGTCACTCCTCCCAAGATGAAGTTCCTCCTGCACTTGTACCACCATCAGATTGAGCTGCACCAACTATATCTTGTGGTCAAGGTTTATCATTTTCTCAAGACAAAGTCTATCATTTTGACGCATCTCCAACAGACATCATTGACACCATCAAGATTTTTTGATGGGAAGCGTCTGGTGATATCATTCTTACATGGATACTGAATAGCCTTAAACCATTAATTATATCAAATATGGGGCTCTTTTGTTCCACCTATTTCAACAGATAATATTTCTCATTCCTAGAGTTTCTACTCTAAAATATTCTCTATAGCAATGTGATAGGTAGATATAAGAATATTATAACTCTCCATGAGGTAAACAGTGGGATGAGTTGTTTCAACATTACCCCTTCACAAACTCCCTGACAGTTTGGCAAAAGAACAATGTAGAACACCTTTGCCAATTTTACCTCCAATTCGCACACTTGTACGGTGTGCAATATCAATTAACTGCAAACTCTATAGTATCTAATATTGTGACTGTTCTACCCTGCTTCTTGGCATCACTGAACTCTCCATTTCTCTCTAACTCCAGCACAATCAAATTTGGTGGTTTATAAGATGGGAGAGGTAGTCGAGAGCATGTTGGAAGGACTATAATGTCCGCATTCATGGCTGGAATATCTTTTCACCATGTCCTTGTTAAAGTCGCATTAATCATCCTATTGGACGTTGTAAGAAGAAATCTAGTTAATCCTCGACTATTCAACATGCTTCGACATCTAGCCTAGCTCCTGATGCTCAAACAGAACTTGAATTTTAATTTTATGGAATGGATAGAGCTAATGAGCAGGTAAAAATAAATGCTGTGAATAAATACAACAACAAAAAAATGTAGTATTATTGATAAAAGAGCAAACAAAAAACTTCATTAGAATTAAAATGTTACTGGTGCAATTTTCTATTTATTTATTGAGTTTATTTACATATATTTCCTTCATGTTATGCCAGTGTGTGGGCTCCGAAAATTCGGCCCCGGCCTCCCCGCGCGCTCTTCTTTTTATTCGACGAGGGAGTTTTAACTGATAAGTTCCGGGGTAAATTTTGGAAGGAAGATGGGTTTGTAGATAAGACACTACCGAGATATTTCGCCATCATTTTGTGAGGACTTTATGATCTGAGTTCTGGTTTCCTATAGGCGCAAGCCCCTATAGTTAATTACCCCTCCCGATCACGAGAGAGAACTTTCAATTAAGGCTAGTCGTCAATCAAATACATAGAGATACGTGGTATCTGGCATATAGTAGCAGCATGAGTTTGGATTTGGAAATTTGAAAGGTTTGGATTTGGGAATTTGGGGTTGAAATATTTAGAGAGTTGATATTTAAAATTGGAAATTGCACCATCTTGCACTTGAAGCAGATGGTGGGGGAATGGATGATAGACCCGATAAAGATCCCATGGTTCCGTCATCCCGGGCCATCGTGGTCCCTAGTTTACTTAGTCAGAGAAGATAGTCGACCCAACCTGACAGAAGGATCATTGTCGGCAGCCATGGGTTGCTTTGTCCAAAGGTACCTTGTAAACTTGGGATGGGTATTTGCCTAAGGAGATAAATTTGAATCCACCTTAGCTAACAGAGGGCTTTGTGCCCTATCGATCATATCATATTGATTCATATCTCAAGGATTTGATGCCAATAAGAAGCGTATTGGCGCTGGCCATAACCGATATTTCGTGGTGCCATTTGGTGGCAAAACCACTCAGTTCAGAGGGCCCGGGTCATAACCGTTTATCCTGCGGTGCCATTTGGCGGAAAACCGTCGGTCAGAGGACACGTACCACGTCCTTACTGGCAGGAGACTATTTTGAGAATGGATCTAGTGATATTCTCGACCAGACATTTGGCTCTTTGTGAGCTGAAGTAATTTTTAGATTTGTCCACCTCGGCAAACTGTTGCGGATGGTGGATGAAGTTTGCTTTAAGTGTTTGATAGTTAGATATCAAATTTAAAATATTTTTGGATTTTTGGACTTTTGAGATTTTTTTTGGATTTTTGGATATTTGGAACGGCATTGGAAATATTTGTGAACTCCTCCAGTTGAGATTAGCATTCAACACGACCATCATCAAGGTGTTTGGAGGCATTTCTGTTTTATTGATTGAATCTTGTCAACTATATCGAATTATCGATAGATAATCAGATTTTGTATGCTTTATGCCCTTATTAGTGAATTCAAATTGTTATAGTCCTTGAAGGCCTGATATGAATGTATTAAAACAAATATATCGGTCGTCACAACCTTATATTTGCTTAATGGTTCGAACCCTGTCGACTCCTATAGATCTGTATAGAAGGATCGGGTTCGAACTTGAATTCACTTATCGACCCGCGCAGCATCCCTAGACATCACGTGTACCAATAACACGCTCGTCAGGGCCCATGCGGGTGTTTGGGGGCATTTTGTAATTAAACATTATCTACTCCTTTTTACCTGTTAAGGAGGATCGGGTTTAAATTTAATAACCCGCGCAGCATCCCTATACGTCACGAGTGTACCAATAACACGCTTGTCGGGACCCATGCGGGTGTTGATTGTATACCCTCTTTTAGTATACCTAAGTGTGTACAAACTACAGTGCATGTGCGAGGGTATTTTGGAATCATTTGTAGATGCCTTCTGTCTGCTTGTAGGGAGGTTGCATATCTGGTGGCGTGGCGTAGCAGCTTCTGAATAGAGTTATTCGCTGCTTCGTACAGGCGGATTGTCGTGCACTACTTGTTGCTTTTTTGCAGGTGGATCGTAGTGCACTAACTAATCTCCTGCCTTGGTCGTAGGTGACTGCATGCGTTGTAGTTATCTTTTACTTGCTCACATATAACATGTTACTTACATAGTGAGTTTCCCACAGTGACTCGTGGAAGTTTGCTTTTGATGTGGCCTTTTGATATTTTTCTCGTAGATGACATTCAGTGTGTGTGATGAGTCTTCCACAATGGTCTGAAGGAGCTTGCATTTTGCTGTAATCCTTTTGAATTTTGCTCATAGATGGCACTTGGTGAATATGGCAGGTCTCCTATGATGATTTATAGGAACCTGTGTTTATCATAATTCCTTTTGTATTTGTCCACAAATAGCATATAGTGCATATAGCGGATCTTCTGTGAGGGCTCATATGTATTTGCATTTGCTGCGTATCTTTCCCCTTTATTTGTAGATAAGTTGTTGCATTTATATTAGGAAAGGACCACTTTTATTGCATGACTCCATCATCATTGACTTTGAGTGGATCATTGGATTTGTTGGCATACTAACCTTCTTTAGTCATGAATTAATCATCATTAGCTATGAGCTAACTAATGCCCATCATATTCTTCATAGTTTCCTTCAGTGTATTTCGCTATTGGGCGACTATCTCTTTCACATGATTGATATAAATGTCACAACTGCTCGTCGTTGCTTCAATGTGATCCACTATCCTTGCTTGTCATTTTTCTTGGCACTAGGTGATGCCTTATCTCAAAGGATCTGTTGCACTTATCATAGCTTTTCCATGTGTCCTTATGAGGTGTTTTGCTTATTTAATACACATGGGTAATCTTAATTTTATAAAGATTCGTTACATTCATCATGCACTACTTTCATCATTTGCAAGCATATCATTATGCGAATGGTGAATCATCTACAATTCTCTTGTAGCAAAGTAGGTTAGCTCCATATTCTTTGACATGGGTCATGAGACAAACAATATTTAAACATATGAATTCTTTATCTTCAAAATGACTTCCACGATGAGCTTGGGATTATTTCCTTTCAATTAAATCAATACTATGATTTCTTATTTTTCATTTGAACCCAATATCATGCTCTAACTCATGCCAGATATGAGTTCAAGTTCTAGTTCTTTGTGCAAATTCAATTCAAGTTTGAGCCCGAATCAAGTTCTTCTTGACTGAGTTTGATTCAAAATTAAATTAAAGTTCCATGTTGTCCAAGATTGACTCAAGTTGAATTTTTATAGCCATTGTTGCAAGCCCAAGTTTGTACTAAATCACAATTTACTTAAGTTCAAATCTATGCTTGAGTTCAAGTATAATTCAGGTTCTATATGAACCTCCTTCGTTCGTCGAGTCCCCAGCTATTTTGCAAAGTTCAAGTCCAAACTCATGTTCACTGTGCTTGATTCAAACCTAGTCCAAGTTGTTCGTTTGATTCAAATCTTAAATTATGGTTCATTTAAGTTCCAATTTAGGTTCAAGTTCAATGTGATTTAGTCCAAGTTCTTGTCCTCTGCACCAAGTTCGTTTGAGTTCAATCAAATCCACTTGATTCAAGTCCACAAATCCCAAATGGTTCCAAGTCCTTGCCTTATTTCAGACAAAAATTCGGCAGCCTCCCGGCGTCTCCCCCGTTTAGGGGAAAACCCAAGAGGCCGCCTACCCGCCACATCAATAAAGACGTGCACGGTTGGTGTTGGTGAGACACCGCGGCGGTATTTTTGTTGTTTTTTTTCTCCCACGACGCGCAATAAGGCGTGCATGGGTGTTTTTTTTTTTAAAGGTTTTTGAAAAAGGCTTTTTTTGATTTCCGCCCCCGCTCGGAAAGTACTTTAATGAGCCGACCCCTGCCCCGCGTAGGTGCCGCACCGGGGTCCCATCCCACGCACGCGCACTAGGCGTGCCTTGGGCGGTTTTCGGTTCGCCACGAACATCTGAAGCAAGTTTTTGAGTTTAGAAAAATTTTCTACCTTCGCGGGGTTTGTCGGTGTTGGCCGTGGATCGAGGGCTCACTCGGCCTACCTCGTCGTGGTGTCGCACCGGGGTCCCATCCACCGACGCGCACTAAATGGCGTGCTTGAGGCGGTTTCCCGGTCCGACACGAACGCCGAGGAGGAGAGGAAGGATAGCATATTTTTATTATTTTTTATCATGCGGCTCTTTTAATTAATATAATTATAAAAATAATTAATAACTAATTATTAATTAATTATATTTAGTAAATTAATAATAATTATAATTAATTAATAATTAACTATAATTAATTATAGTTAACTAAATAATTATAATTAGTAATTAACTACTAAATATTAATTAATTATAATTAAGTAATTAATTACAATCATAATTAAATAATAACTAAAATAATTAATAGTAATTAAAATAAATAAATAAATAAACGAAATAATGCTCCCTCCCATTCTCTGGTTTGGCCGGACCTACAGGATTTGGCCGAGAATCGCGTCAGAGGGAGCAGAGTTACCTTTTACTTCCAGCGAGCTCCCGTCGTCTGCTCCGATCGCACAAGAGGGAATGCATCGGAGGATCAAAGTCGGCCAGCCACGAAGGTGCCGGAGAAGGGAGTGAGAGACCAGGGGAGTTGCCTTCACGCGAGCGAGCACCGATCGGTGCTTCCGATCTAACTGTTGTAGCTTCCGATCCTAGAGGGAGGAAAGGTTGTCGAAGGAGGCGAGAGCGAGAGGAAGAGAGATCGGAGGAGCTGAGGTATCGGGAGAGAGAGAGAGAGGTCGTGTGCGTGGGAGAAGAACGGGATCGGAAGAGCGATCGTGTGTGGAGCGAAGTCGGAGAGCCAGCCCCGAATGCTCTGTTTGGCTTGGTATTCAACGACGCTGAAGAGATGCGATCGAGGCGCTACAGAGTCACGGGATACCTGGGAAGCGATCGCGGACGGCGCCGAATCGGCGCAAATCTCGGCAGAATTTGAGGATCTGACGGGTAAGATGTATGTTTGCAGGATTTTTTTTTTTTTTCTTTGTTCTGAGGTCAACACAGTGAAAACTAATAATCATGTTTTACTTATTGTAAGTTATTTCTTTACTCAAAAAATATATATGCAAAAGAATTTCCTAATGATTGTGAGATAAGATAAATTCCAAAATAGTCCTCAGACTATTCATGTGTGGTCAATTTAGTTTCAGAGTATTACATTACTCCAATTTAGTCTATCAACTATACAAATTGATCTAAAATAGTCCCTCATATTATAATTATGATATAAAATTGATCCCAATTTAGTCCCTCGACTTTATAAAATTGATCTCAGTTTCATCCCAAAGGACCATTTTATAGAGCAATTTTGTATAGTCGAGAGACTAAATTGAAATAACGTTATCCTCAGGGACTAAAATGATCATATATGAATAATTAGGGGACTATTTTGAAATTTAACCCATTTTGAGATTATCCAAGGACTACAACGTTCATAGAAAAAATGGTGCCCCATAATAAAACTTAAATAAAAATCGATTAAGAAAAAAGTTTTTTTCTTTTTCACTGCCCTTATATATATAAGAACCAAAAATTTCTCACTAGCAAGTATGGTTTATTATTCTTTAAAAAAATAAAATTCCACGGCCCAAGAAATACGTAATGGCATTTAGAAACTACCAAAATCCAAAGGTCCGTTGAAGGATGACCTAGAAATTTTCTTATTGTAGTAACTTTCACATCATCATTAAATAATAGCATGTAGTGTTATTGATTTGTAACTATTATATGAATGATGGTTAATGAACGAAATGGAGAAAGGAGGAAATTTTTGCAAAATATGCTCCAAATATCCCAAGATAGCTTTTCATATTTAAACTAAAAAAGGAATTGAAGCACCTTTACCCTTAAGCTTGCAATGGTAAGACATGGGTTTAATATGCAAAACCAAGATAAACTAATGTATTATCATTCTAACATGAGAATGAGAGAAATGAATGATAGCAGAAAAAATAATGAAAATCCAATAATAGTTTTGGCTTATATCTTTGATGATGAAGATCCACTGCCTGAGTGGATAAGGATGAGGTAGGAAGAGTGCCAGACTAAAGGGAGAATCAAAGGCAAGATGGTAAGGTTTTGGGCTTGGACTCTCAACAACGAGACACAAAGCTCCAGTAGGCCATTAAACACAGAAGTAGGAAAGTGAAGGGTATGGTCCAACGGCAAAGATGAGAGAGCATTGATAGAGATGGACTTCCAGGTTGGTGTGACGTTGCTAATGTACCTCTACATAGAAATGGAAATGCTTACATATATGGAGATAAATTATCTTATGGGTACAGAAGTGAGTATTGCTTAACTTTAGAGGGAGGGTTTGATGATACTATACAGGACATGTTGGTTATCACATTGGCCTTGAAGCATATGGTGATAAGAAGCATATGGTGGCACCAACACACATTCAAGAAGTATGGAGAGTCATAAGCAACCTAATAAAGGTTTACAAGAGCAACATTCACCATATGAAAATTCAATGACTTCACATTTTCATATGATTGAATACAACTTTATTACAATGAAAACGAAGATCTTTACAATCCACCAACAAACAGCAACTGGTGTGGTTAGTTCTTTTACCAAAAGCAAAAAAAAACAATATCCGGCTACTCATAGTATTACGATCTTGGTGTTATTGTGGTATGCATTTTTTTAAGACTACATTAAATTATCTAATATTTCATATTTTTCAAATTATTTTTAATTTTAAAATCTATAAAAATACTTCTGAATGCAATGTTTCTAACAATACTAAAGAGTTATTTAAAAAAAAATGCAACTGCCCCTAAAGCTGAGGGTTTCAACTGATGAAACAATCAAAATAGGCAAAAGTAGAAATTAACCTGCAGAATTGAAATCGAGTTTTAGAATCTTGCTTCAAGCTGCTCACTTGGCAAGATAGACTTTTTCACTCACCATATTATAGTTGAATCTATTAAAGCAATCTATTTATGTAATATCATATCATCCTCAGTATGATTTGAGAATCAGGAGACAGGAGAGGAAACTATTCAGCTTAATCAACCTGCAGTTATGGCTTTCTAGCACCTACCTCCAAGTACTGTGGAAAAGCTTGTGTTGCTAACCATCTCACATGACAAATAACCTCACATTGTTATGATCTCTCTTTTACCAATAACCACTGTTTCACTACTTCAATTTATGCCCTCTTTTGCCAGACAAGAAAAACATAGAGCCTTCAGAAACCAAAAATTACCACGGAATCAACTAATGAAAGTCCTGCACCCGCGGCAATAAGCGATTCTTGAAAAGTCTGCATCAACAATTATAATATAATAAGTCAGTGCCTCAAAACCAAATTACATTTTAATCCTTTGATTGAACTAAGTATTGTTTTTTTCAAAAATCTATATTCAACAAAATTAAGTGAAAAGGATTCATGAACGAGTAAACAAAACATATCATTATACTTCGTAAGCTGGAAAAAATCTTTCCTCCTGGATTTTTCGACTCTACGAAACATCTACCAGTACATTTACTGTATGAGGCTAGAGTTTGTGGTCAAGTTTAATATCGTTGGATGTATCTATTTGAGATGTATGCCTAAATTTTATTTTGAAAAAAAATGTACTTCTCTTAAATCTTATGAGATGATCCTCAATATTACAGATACTTGAACAAATTAAAAAAATCTATTAAGAACAAAACACACCCAAAAAGATCGATATGTGAAGCCTCTCTAGCACAAGAGACAACCCATTTATGTTTCTACTAAGAACTACATGTAAGAAGTTCAAAAACAAAGATTGGACATAATATTGAAGTTGAGGAATGTCTTCCTCAATCATCATTGCCAATATTTATAACTATGGAAAGTCAAGTGAAAAATGCACAATCAGATATCTAACTGATTTGGAGATTAAGACAACAATATTATACGTGCTACTGAACTGCCCATAAGTTTAGCCTCTATTAGAGTAAGTTTCTCTAATGTATGAAGGCTATACAAATCATGAATGTTTTATTTCTTTCTAATATGCACAGTCCGTGCACATGTTGACACCGCCTCTATAGGATCAAGGGGTGATCGCCTGAGATCTTCAGAGCAAACGCCCGGGCATCTACTATCTTCCCCAGCTTCGTTACATGCGATTCCAGGAACCCAAGCCAATAGGCGGGAAAAGAAAAACAGGGAAATTGAAACAGAACAAAGTCTGAATTCCAGTCAAATATTCACTGCCTTTATTTTCATCAACTCAAGCTATTTATAATGAATCTAATACATTGGGCAAGATAAAATGCTACAAGCAATAAGCTACACATAACTACGTGAGTCATCTTGGCCATACAAACATTAGCTCCTGCGTCACATGTTATTTGTAAGTTCTTTGCCGCCAACAAATACAGAAGTTATTGAGAAAATGATTGTGGATCATTTCCCAACATGGTTCAAAATATAGTCCATACAGTGTTAGATTTTATGATTATTAATAATTTCCATCCACTTAACATCTCCATTGTTTTAGGTACATAGTCCTTGCAATGAGGTTACAAATAAAGGAATGCATGCACTTGCATGCGGACCTATGAAAATAGTTAAAACATGGCTAGTTTTTTTTTGTTCATTGATTTGGAATTCATTTAAGTCATAGAGTGAGAGAAGAAAAATTGAAAATTGTGGTGTTGTATTAAAGGGAATACTCATAAAGAAAATGAAGGTGACTATTATAGTAGTTTTAGAAGAGGTTATTCAACTCAAATATCTAGGGAAGGTGAGAATAAGATATTTTTATTCAACTACAAGTAGTATGATCCTGTCCCAACTAGAGGTACAAGAGTGCATCCCTAGTATGGTATAATAGAACGTCACTTTGCACAAGTACATCATCAGATCACATCAGTCCACTTAGGCCATACCTCTCAAGTACATCATATACACAACATCACATCAGTCCATTTAGGCCCTTATACCTCCCAAGTACATCATATAAACATCTTCACACCACATTAGTCATCTTAGGCCTTTATAACTCCCAAGTATTTCACATATACAGTGTTAGACCCTCATGCCACTCATGCAATTCACATATATAATATCAGGCCCTTATAACTCTCTATGCACAACATAATTCATTTATTAATTCATTCATACCCTTATAGCTCCCTATGATTATTTCACATATCCAATCACATGAATATAGAATTAACAGTACTTCTAATATGCATGAACAATGTCTAACATAATGCAAGAATATGCAAAACTTCAAATGTATGACAAATGCAATAGTGTTTTTGAGGAATGATCTAGGTGCACATTAAACATTTACAAATCATAAAATCATTCATAAGCAACATCTATGGAATCATTTTGAAGCTTTTATTATTTTGTAGTCACATCTATTAGTGTCAGCATACTAAAAAAAATACATATAATTTCATGCAATTAAAAATACTCAGCGAAAAACTTAGTTTTTCCTATTAGCATAACCAGAATGGTCAATTCATACCAAAAGTTATATGGAGGAAAATTTTTTAAACTTTATTTAATTAAATGAATTACCAAAACTCTCACACAAATAACCCAAATTGAAAATTGAGATAAGGTGGCAGTAATCTATCTAGATCGAGAGAATTTTCCCAACTAGCTCAATCGTAAAAAATGTCTCTAAGACCTCCAAAATTCACTTCCTCTCTCTAGTATTCTCTCTCTCTCTCTCTCTCTCTCTCTTTCTCTCTCTCTCTCTCTCTCTCTCTCTCTCTCTCTCTCTCTCTCTCTCTCTCTCTCTAGCAGGCTAAACTTAAAAATGAGGAAATTTATTAAAATGGATTTAGATATTTATAGACCTAAGCCGCAGCACTACCTTCCACAGTGTCACAGTGCTTCCAAGAAGAAATTTTCATGTTCGTAACAAAAAGCTCGGCACCACAACACCACCTCTTCACAAAGCCCCAACGCTATTCTATTTGACACCTAGTCTAACAACGAAGCCGTAGTCACAGTGTTGGAGTGCTCCAAAAAAAAATATTTTAATACCAAAAAGAGAGCTTAGCGCCTTAGCTCTCATAGGAAGAATTTTAAACTTGAAATTTTCTTTTCTAATTTAAACTATAATTTCATTTCATGATTAAATTAAACATAACAAAAATTCTAAACATTTAAAGAAATTTAATAAATGTTGAATAAACTTGAAATTGTTGCCAACTTCAATTAAGGCCATCATTATATGTGCAATCATTACAATAACAACCTGGGAGGGAGAAACTATAGGATTTTAATCGCGTTCCTTATCAATCCCCCCAACATTCTCTTTAAGTGTAAGATGATAAATTTCAAGTTCAATACTAAATTCGTTGCTATTCTATGCTCGATAATTAGTACCTATCTAACGTGTAAGATCTCAAAACTGCAGAAGAAGATGAAGAGGACGAACTGGAAGGCCTTCATTTCTTTGGCCCTATTTCAATTACTTGGAATCGCGGAAGCTAATCGAAGCTCAATCATAGTCATTTGCATCGATTGGAAGACGAAGAAGGTGCTCGACGTATTTCGAGTTGCTTGGAAGTCGAAAGAGGGGGAGTCGTTCGTCGTTTGGCTTCACGGGAGATGAAAGGGTGGGTCATTTCGACCCTATAAATCGCGAAGAGGGAGAGTTGAGGGAGACTGAAAGAGCGAGAGCATGAGCTTGGAAGAGAAAAGTGGGCAAACATGCTAGGGCTTGAGGGAAATTTAAGGAGTAAAATGTAAGTTTTCCTATTTATTAAAATTTTATCTAAATCTAGATTATAATTTAGATTTATTAGATTAAAATGATTAATGTTAATATATGCATATATTTAGTTAAGATAGATATGCTTGCATGTGCATGTTAACTGATGGAGCATACCCCTTTATGGTACTGGCTAGGGACAATATACCCATGCACGTAAATAAAAAAGAATATGAAAAAAGAAAAGAAAATAGAAAATGTGTACCTTTATTGGTATAATTTTAGCCGGTGGCTCCTATGACAATCGTACTAATTACGAGAAAGGATAAAGATATAATATATACATAACATTGATAGACATGTTTGAAAGGAATTTAAATAGAATTAATTTATATTTGAAAATGAGCATGCATATTATTTCAAAGACTTTATTAATGTAATTTAGAAGCATGATTTACTCAGTGAGTTCTTTATAACTCACTTTTATTTTTAATAATATTCACAGGTATTATTTGATTAACTTAAAATGAGTAGAAGATATATAAGATAATATATATTGTATGTGCGATGATCCGAAAGAAAGGTATTTATATTATTTTTTTATTTTAAATGTTATGAGGTTTCAGTGGCTCTTTATATTTATTAGAAATAGTTAGTTAGTAGTTGAAATTTTAATTAATCATCACACCTTCTGTTCACACCTCGTTAATTGGAGTCTCTAGGCTGGGTCGTGACATAATGACTGGCCTTAATCAAAAGTGCACTCTCATCACCGGAGGTGCTAATTAGCCATATAGGTTTATGCCTACAAGAAACTTGAACTCAGATCTTAAAATCCTCATGAAATGAGGGAGAAATCTCTGAATATTGTCTTATGTTAAAATTAATCTGCCTTTTGAGAATTTGACTCATAACATCCATTAAAATCTCCTGAATACAAAGAGGCTAAGGAGTGAATTTTTAGAGCTGGCACATAGTTGATCATAATATTATACAACATGATCATACCATGCATGTAAATGTGAATAGACATTTTAAAAAAGAGAAACTAGAAAGTGGATGGATCAACACTTTATATGTGCTAGCAGGAAATCAACCAGCCTAACCATATGTGCAAACGTTCTCCCCAAAGGACTCTAGAAGCCCACGTTCAAAAATACTGTCAACAAACTTCGAATGCATAACAATCAGTTTGAGGGGAATTGTTGAAGGATCGTGAGACCTATAAGTCAACAAATCTTAGTAGGGATCCTTGAGCAAGCAGATTAAAGGATCTAACTGTTGGATTGATTCTCTTATAGCCCTCAGGTTTTGATGAATGCATGTGCTCAAGAATCCCTACATATGTCTTCTTTTCCTATTCTAGCCATAGAACTCTCTTGTGGATTTTTTTAAAATAGCTTTGATTTCTTTTCATTATAAGCCTTTTAGAGAAATTTATAAAAACTTCAACACTTTGTGTAGAATTAACCAATAAAATTCAAAATAATTTTTTCTACCTTTCTAACTTTCTATAAAACACAAAGCCAATATGATCTGGCTATTATTAGTGAGTTTTTCTATTTGGCTATCTTCTTTATTTCTTAGAGCCTTGGTCTTGAACTAGCACTGGATTCTTCTTCTGTTTCCAAAAATATGCACAGGGACAGGCATAAATTTGCAATTAGTTAAGGCTTAAAATTCAGCTAGGTACATGTACAAAGTTAAAATAAAACATATTATTAAAAAGAGACTGATGCTTGAAGATTACTGTTTCAGTTGCATACGTTGGTCCTGATCCATCAATGAAAATAATTCCTTCATCAGTGGCCCTTGACATAGCCTACTAGAAAAAAAAAGGGTCTCAGTGAGACTCATTGTCAAGCGAGAATTTAAACATTTGAATTTGAAACTGATAAAGCTGTTTTAATAACAGGAAAAAAGGATTATGGTTTTATCAAGAAAAGAATTGGGAATAAGAATTCAAAGAAGAAATTCATTGGATAAAAAAGGCATGACAGTAAATTTCTTGAGTAATGTAATTGCTTTGATTCAAATCAAAAACTATCACAATGACCAGCTTCCCACATTAGAATTGGTTAGTATGAGAAAATCTAAGAGAATTATATTGATCTCACTTGATTAAGATTACAAGTGACATGAAATGCATCTGTACATAGAGAAAAAACAATTGAAATTCAAGTAAAAGGACAACAAAAGAAAAAGGTAGAATTGAATGGCTTCAGCGTCTCCTGGAAAAACAGAAACACCTGCAGCACTGACAATATTATATTATCAGTTGGTTGCAACTGCATCCTTACCGTATAATGATGAGACAAAGAAGGGCATATTTCTATTAGGTACTTAATTCATGGGCAATGTTGTTAAATCAGAATAAAGCAAGAAAGAAGAACTTAACAAAACATTACCTCCAATAGAAACAACGAATCAAAATGCAGCTGTTACCTTCTCAAGTCCCGCTACATAGGCCCTTGCATGCACACGTGCAATATCATCCACAGAAGCAGGCGGGAAATTTTGCATTTCGAACACTTCTAAACCACGATACTGAAGTAAAAAAATTCAATGTTTTAAAAAATTATAATCATTCTTAAATTATTTGATAAAGTTTCTTTAGGGAAAGAAGTAAAAAAATTATGTTCAATGCATAATAACTTCTTGTTCGATAATCAATTGAAAATTTTAATTGAGCTTGAGAAAGATGTTCTCAAGGTTGAAAGTATCTCCATGAAAGGATTTCCAAATTTAGGATCTTAAATTACTAAATAGCTAGTAATCTTTTCATATATATATATATAATGATCCATTAACTCTTTATAAAGGACCAAAATAATCTCAAACTATAATAAATGACCATTTTGGTCCCTCAAATTCTTAAAAAAGAATCAAAATAATTTCATTCCTTTTTAATGAGCTGGCGGATCAAAATAGTCATTTAATATAATTGAGTTTATTTTGATTTTTCATAAAGAGTCAAGCAACTATTTTGGTGATTCTCTCTCGCTCTGTGTGTGTGCATATATTCCTCCCAAATTTCTTTTCTGCTGATAGATTTACATAGCCTTCGAGCTCAAGATCACTCTAATGATTCCGCCTTCCACTTCCTCTTTCGCTTTTGCCTCCGGTTCCGCTTTCGTGATTCCACCTTCTGCCTAGTTGACCCGCTCGAGCTGCTCAACGATTCAATGAGTAGAGCAGCAACTCAATTGAACTTAGGCTCGACTATTGAACAAGCTCATAAATCTACTTGAGCTCAAAATTCGAAAAGCTCGCCTCATAAGCTAGTTATCAAGTCGAGTTCGAACAAGTTGAGAATCGGATTGACTCGTTTACACCATTAAGAAACTATTTTACATTAAATTAAAGAAAACTAAATAACTTTGAAAACTCCTTATATAAATTGATATGTATATATAAAGAAAAATGAAATAAATAAAATGAATTACAACTTGGAATGGAAAGTATTGAAATGGAAAAGGTATATGCATGGCTTGCATGCAAATACAAAAGTTCACTCTCTAATGGTACTGACTAGGGACCATGCACAATAAATGGAAAATGAAAAATAGAATTAATTACCTTCTGAGTATAAAATTTAGATAGTACTCCTAGAATAAAAGGAGCTATTAAAAGAATAAAATTTAAAAGAAATAGAAATCAAGAAGAACGTTTTATCAATTAAAAATTTATAGCACTAAAATCTATATTAAATATTTATACGTATGTTAAATAAAAAGTTTGATAATTTAATATAACTACTGAGTTTTTTAATTAAAACTCAACCCATTAAATTGAAAATTTCAGAAATCCCTTGTTGATTAAATAGCTAATCGAGAAGGTTTTATGTACAAAAAGATATGGCCAACTGAAAAAAAAAAAAGTAACAACTATTTTATTATGTGTTTAGCTTGTAATTTATTTTAAAGGCTTTCGGTTAAAGTTGGATATTTAGTTATTGAGTAATTTTTGTTAAAAGAATTATGAAATCCTTTCAATCATTTGTTTCCACCTTGTTAGTTCAAAACTCCAAGTTAGACCGTGACACCTAGATCTAAGGTGAGAACCACCGAAAGATAATAACTCAGACCTAATCTAATAAAATGCATTAGACTTATGAACTTGAAATCCCTATTGCGTATCCATCAATGCATGCATTTCAACACGCTTTGCGGTTTGAAAGTATCAACTTAGAGATGTTGCAATAAAGTGTCACAATAAAATAGGATTTTCCTGGCTAGGCTGATGTATGGTTTGCTTATAAAGACAGAAGATAGATATTTTGCTCTTTCTCCTTACCTTGGATGTGAGCTCAAACGCCTCAAGAGCATTAACAATTGCAGGAACCCTTAAATTGGATTCAGGATGATTTTCCTGTTTCAGAAACCAAAAATAATGTCATTCTAAAATTTTAGAAGTTAAACTTGGCAAATAAAAACTACTCAGAAACCTTAGCAGCTCTATAGAAAATGAAAAAACTTGGTAAATAAAAATATCAGCAGCTTAATGTCGAGAAAAGACAAAAAATGACAGGTAAAAACTACAGGATGCATTCAAATACATTTTAAAACCAACAAATGTTTCTTACAGGTAGATCAAAAGAACAATGGAATTATATTTAGAATCAGGAGACAAGAAATGAGGTATATTGTAATTCCTTGCTTTAATTAATACTCTATTTTCCTTCATAAATAATCATGATTTTACAATTCTAAATTACTGCTTCTTTATTAGCACATTTAAAAAGAAAGAACCAGCTCTGCGGAAATAGATAAATGCCAATAACTATTAATGAAAATTCTTTAAATGGTTAGGTATTAAGAATTTAAAATTTCTTAAACGAATACTTTGATCCTTTAGTTAAAATTATTCAACATACTACGTTAAGGGCTTATTTGGTCGCTTGAAGTTTGAAAACATATTTTGAAAAAAAGTGATTTTTGTCAAGACCATCATTTGGCAGGAAGTAGTTAGAAATATAAAATGGTTTCAAATGTCACAAATTTACAAAAGTGGTGACTTTATCGTCACATTCGAAATGAAAGAAAATGAAATCAACATTTCAAAATATATGTTTTTAAACTCCAAGCAACCAAACGAGTCTTAAAAAGAAATTTGATGGTAGATTAGTAACATAATTTACATGATTATTGAACCAGTGTAGAATTTAGACTGATTAATATGGGTGGGCTACATTGATGATGCAAAGTTTGTGATTTAGGTCTGAATTATTTGTTATTGATTATACAACCATCATAGGTGGGCCACATAGATTATGTAAAGTTTGTGGTTTAGATTTTAATAATTTGTTATCTGAATATCTTCTAACAATTTGTTATTTGATACCCTAAATTTGTTATAAAAAAATATCTAAACCCTAAACACCTAAAAGAGAACCCAGCAAGCGGAAAGGAGTTTTCCACTTTAACTAGCAAAAGAAGAAAATTAGCATTGAACACATTATAATGCCTTCTTTCTACCAGGCATAATGCCCAGCTTGTTGTAGGGCAGTTTGATCACCAATGCAATAATTGTTCCCCTCCGCAATAGTAAAGCACCATCATTCCTTTGTATTTATTGGCTATGCTTGCAATCCTGGATGGCTCATGAACCTTCAGCCCTTTCCTAGGGGTGTTAGATTTATCAAGACAAAAAATTGCTCCAAAATTGGATTGGCTTTTAGCTTATATCAAATTCCGACTAATGAGCCAAGCACAGCTCAGATAGAACATAAATTGAGCAGAAGCTGGATTGAATTGAGCTAGCTCGAGATCAAATTAAAATGTATATGCAATGTATGAACACATATACAAATTGTAAAATCCGAAGTTGGTTAGGTATGTGCCACTATTGGTTAATTTTTAAAATACCACAAAATCTCAACTTTTCCGAAAATCATTAATAAGCATGTCATTGTGTTCTACTGGTCGAATAGAATAAATTGTTGCATAGAAGTGTATGTTAATTTGCAATGAGGTGGAAGTTATTGAATTAAATCTCAACTGAATAAATTCCTGAAGTTAAAACAATCCAATACTGTTCCAATATAAAAATTACTGTAGCTGGGCAGGTTTTTGGGTGGCTATGGGCACTATGGGTGGAATGCAGTGGCGGAGAGCAGGGTTAATTAAGTAATTTAAATATTTCTCTCTAATTATCAAGAGGGATAATTAACCATAAAGGTTTACTAGTATGAGAAACGTGAAATTTGATCATAAAATCCTCACAAAATAAGGGAAAAATCTCTAGACAGTATCTTATATTCAATCTAATCTGTGTTGAAAATTTGACCCTGAAATACTTAAACTCACTCACTAGAGGTCGGGCCATGAATTTCAAAGCTCACAAAGATCTACCAGACAAATATCAATTGAACAATTCGTAAAAGCTAATTTTTTCCAAACTGATCAAATTGATGCAAAATCCCCAACACCCCCCAACAAAAACTTACGGCTATTTGCACTTTTGCTGGATTGTTAAATGTCGTGACTTGCATTTATAACTTCCTTCAAATCAATTGATTTAGTATAGCCTGGATCAGTCTTTTTGAATCCTCGTTTTACTATTTTGTCTGATCTTTTCATAGCTCTGGTTCTGACATTGTAGCAAGGGATCCTAAAGATTGTTGCTTCGTTATCTTGCAATGTAGTTGGATTCAAGACCTTGCTAATCTTTTACTCTAGCACTACAGCAATTCAGAATTTACTGAAATTGGGATCTGAGGCTTTTATTATAGTATCTATTATAGGATTTTTTTTTCCTTATATTTGAGGAAACTATCGATTTGGGTCTTCGTGTGATTATAAAAGGGACGAAGAAACATGCAAAAAATAATTGCATAATGGAATTTCAATTTTCTCTTAAACTTCGATGTGCTAGTTGGATCAAAATTCTAAGAGTGCGGCTCAAGTGTTGATTGACAACTTTCGGGAAAAACTTCCTACTTGTACAAGCATGAAGCCTAAATCTTCCATTTGGTGTCTTCTGTTCTTAGTACTTTTATTTACATAATTTATGATTGATTTGCATGTGATTTGACATCATCAAATCTATTACATTATGAATTTTTTTATGCTGTGCAAACTTTTATTTGATGTGTGATTTTTCTATTGATAACTTTTATTGCGAAGTAAATTTTTACTGATCCTAAATCATCATTTGATGAGAATTTTTCACATATTTTTTTTTATAGTTAATTTTTATGTTTATTAAAACGGATGAATTCTGCCTAAACTAAAGTTCGTGGACTACAAATTTTATCTTTATGTGTGATTTTGGGCATCTCATCCTAAATTTGCATTTAAAAATCCTAAAAGCTAAGAGGTCCTGCATTACTCATACCCAATTAATGTAGCTCAATAATTACGCATGAGTAGCCATGCACTGAACATCTGTTAGATCGGTCCAACTGGTCCACGCGGGACCGGCCCAGGCAAAACCGAGGCGGAACGTCCGCCTCTTTCGGAAGCCGACCGCACCACAAGCGCCAACCAGCTGATTTAGGAAGGATTTTTTAGGGATTTGGGAGGAAAATCTGAATGTATGGACTATTTAGGGTTTCCTTTTGATTTGTCTGCATTAAATGCTTTGTTTCCCTAAGGTTAGGGCATCTTGAATTTGGTTGAAATTTGAGATCTCTTAGATTTAGGTTTTCTTTGGGCTCTAGCGGTGTCTAGAGATTTAGGAGAGATCGATCCTCCTCTCGAATAGAGGATCAAGTGTATCTTGCTATTTTTCGTTTCGCTTTCATCAAGTAATACAAACTATCTATTGTTTTTGTGATTTTGTGCGGATTTTTGTAAAGAATTCTCGCTGTTTTTAGAAGATTGATAGGAAATACTTGCGATCTACAAGTGTTTCCTATCAAATTGGTATCAGAGCACGTCGATCGAAGGGAACCAATGGCTGGAAGGAAAGTGAAAGTTTTGGATGGAGAACTTGGGCAACTCAAAGCAGATTTTGAGGAAAAGATGACTGATTTTCAAAGTCAAATTGCATCCATCAATGAAAAGATGGAGGAAAAGTTCGCCGGGGTGGAAGACATGTTGAAGAAATTGCTTGAAGCCAAAACCAAACCGGTCACAACGGAAGCAAATGAAACTACCGGCGGCCATGAAAGAGATGGGAACCCTAACATGTCTAGGGGAAGAGAAAAGCCAGAAGTGGAGATCTTAGAGGGAGAAGACGGAATGCCTCCTCTAGAACCACTTTCTAGGGAGAAGATGAGCATTGGCTACGCAAGAAGGGGTGCTGAATTTGTAAGGAGAGGGGATGATTTTGATCGTCTGGGTACTGATTTTGAAAGAAAAAGAGGGGATTTTGATGAATGGTTTGGGTATGATCGCCGGAGGGAAGATCATGACAATTGGGGAGCACCTCCGCTTCGAGGAATGGGAGGATATGTAGGATTTAGGGGAAACGTGTGTGACCAGAGGGTGAGGAAACTGAAGATGTCAATCTTTGAGGGGGATGATGCATACAGGTGGATCTACAAAGTAGAAAGATATTTCGTCGTTAATGGGCTGACAGAGGAGAGATTGACGGTGGCGGGCATATGTATAGAAGGGAAGGCTTTGTCTCGGTATCAGTGGAGGTACATGCGACGACACATATAGAGTTGGAGAGAGTTCAAGAATTGTTTGGTAGAACGTTTTCGAACTGGCAGGGGATGAGACTTCTACGAGTAGTTCTTCGCCTTTACACAGGAGGGTTCAATGACTGAGTACCGGGAGAGATTTGAGTACCTTGTTAACCGATTGGACCGCCTTTCTGAGACAGTGCTAGAGGAAAACCTCATGAAGGGATTGACCCCAAAGATCCGAGCAGCGGTTAGAGTAATGAGGCCTCGTGACTTGGGAGAGGCTATGGAGCTAGCTCAATTGGTAAAAGATCAGAGGCACCTGGAGGGAGAGATGGGAGGCAGCAACTCAGGAGGATCATACCATATGACTGCCACCTTATTGAAATCCAAGGAGCCAACACCAGAGACTCTTCGAGGGACTTCGAAGGAAAAGACTGCAAAAGAAAGACTTGGGGACAACTTCAAGAAGCTCACAAAGACAGAATTATAGGAGAAGAGGGCGAAGTGGCTCTGTTTCAGATGTGACGAGAGGTATACGCCGAGGCACAGGTGTAAGGACCGAACTCTTCAAGTTTTTACCGTTTCTGATGAAGGAATGGAGGGTGTCGTCTTTCCACCTTGCGGACAAGGTGAATCTTTGGGAGAGTAGTATTGTTAAACCGGTCCAACCGATCCACGCAGGATCGCCCAGGCGAAATTGAGGTGGAACGTCCGCCTCCTTCGGTAGCCAACCGCACCACAAGCGCCAACCAGCTGATTTAGGAAGGATTTTTGAAGGATTTGGTAGGGAAATTTGAATGTATGGACTGTGTAGGGATTTCCTTTTGATTTGTATGCATTAAATACTTTGTTTTCCAAGGGTTAGGGCATCTTGAATTTGGCTGAAATTTGAGATCTCTTAGATTTAGGTTTCCTTTGGACTTTAGCGGCATCTAGAGATTTGGGAGAGATCGATCCTCCTCTCGAATAGAGGATCAAGTGCATCTTGCTATTTTCCGTTTCGCTTTCATCAAGTAATACAAATTATCTACTGTTTTTGTGATTTTGTGCGGATTTTTGTGAAGAATTCTCGTTGTTTTTAGAAGATTGATAGGAAATACTTGTGATCTACAAGTGTTTCCTATCAACATCCAAGGGGAACAATCAAAAATCATGTGGCAAGCATAACACTCAAAAAGCAGCTTGTTGCAAATAGAAAAGGCCCCAATATTTTAATGTATCATGGTTTAGAACTACCTCACTAGCATGATGTTCTACTTGCAGTGAACCTAAATGCAATGACTGGAGAACGTTGACATGCAAGACGTGACAACAGGAGTCGTGTCACTAAATCTCTTACCGGTTTTGGAGAGATAAGGGATTTTATGCTCGTATGAAGGCTGTTACCATCTCCTTAATACAGGTACCAAGCAATCATAAATCTTATTCAACGTTAAAAGCATAAATGTTCAGAAAACCTCTCCAATTCAAAATAAAGATATCTTCATTTAAATTAAAAAATTGCGTACTGTCAATAAGGTAAAACATTGTTCAAGTAGGAAATAAAAGAAGTTGGCTTTATAAGTATCTACAAGGAGTTCCTTCAACCCTCAATAAAACATATTCAACATCTCATATGCCTTCCGTAATATTTAAATATGTCAGCATACTGATTTAGCAATGACTGGATTCAAGAAGTTATGATAATAATCAATAATGTTTATCACTATCAAATAAATTTAGAATAGGATGTGCAATATAGCATAGCACTTTCCAAAAAATTAAGCTGCATTACAATTTTTGCATGAATGCGAAGGTGTGTAGCCAAAGCAAGACTTTCTTAATATAACATGATCTCTGTAAATATCCACAACGTTACACAGGACAGTAAGAATCAATAACTTACCTTATTATGGCCCATGGAAGGAGCTACAGAGTAAAGGATACGTGCATCATGTGGTGGAATATTAGAGAAACTCAATTCCATTCCATGAGCATTTGAAGCAGAAACTGTAGCACTGTCACCCTTTGCAGAACATCTCAAATTAAACCTCAAAAGTTGGTCAAAACTTCTCCTCGTAGCAGCCGCCTTTTCTTTTAAATTCAGTTTACAAATATTCTTTATCTTTATATATCTTGGCACAATGCATGAAATCAAGTGCTCTGCAACCAAAGGATAAGAAAAAAACAAACAAAAATATGACTGTCAACGGAAGGTAGCAGCCCATTCAGCAAGTGAATCTTATCAAGCGACTTGGAAAAGCCAGGACACTTTATGAAAATAGGCATCACCGAGTGCAGAAGCTATTTGAAGGACCTAAACATGATTTTAATTTGATATTGCCCCGAAAAATAGCTCCAAATACTTTCAACAGTCAACGTGATAAATAATTTGATATGACCATTAAAAATAGTTCCAAATAATTCCAAAAGTCCAATCGAGGACATCAGGATTCATACCAGATATTCTTTGCGTAAAAAGGGATGAATACGATGATGGTCCGAGCTCCTACACTACCATATTGCATCAAAATCTGTATCAAACTACCTTCAACATAATGAAGCAAATGTCAATATACACCAATATCAAGGCTCCGGCATAAATCTAGTCATCCAATTCAAATCATCATCAACAATAAACTTAAAGCAATCAATTTGGATGAGGTCATCCAATTTAGATCTCCAACTGTGCCATATTATTAGGACCTAAGATCTCTATCAATCCATTTAATGGTGCAATATGAATCTGAAGTAAGAGGGGACAAATAAAGCTTACCCAAAACTTAGAGAGGGCAAAGCTTACATAACTAACATAAAAAAATAATGATTTATGATGAAAGTTCTATATTATACATAATTATAAGAGGTTTTTCTTCAAACGGGCAGCGGTTGTGCCTAACCCCTCCGGCCCTCCCTAGTTCTACAACTGAATTCATCCATCATTGCTAGCAGAGTGGTGATCCAACATATATATCAAAGGCAATGTGGTACTCATTACCCTTAGATCGATCATGATAAAAATAACCTCAATCAATGAGGCATTTCAACCCAATATAGATTTCAAAGGCAATCTTGTCGGCCTATCCACTAAATCAAAAGTCAAGATACCAAATTTCCCTTCATTGAAGCACTTATAAATACCTTCTAAGGGACCAAGGTAAATGGTTATACTCTAAGCTATCACTCTTTCATCCTAAAGGAAAAAATTGTGCATAATTGGTTCCAGCTCTTGATTTCCTTCATAACCCAGTCACTAACTCAAGAATGGGAAGATCTTCACAAAGAAAAAAAAAATCCTCAAGTTGACCTGCTGACTTTTTTATCTTAGTTGATCGTGTGAAGGATATGGGTATTAAGCTTAAGATAATTCATCTACAGAAATTCTATTAGCATTTAAGATCATTTTGGCCTTGCAACAATGTAGCGTTCACTATAGGTAAGGACATCCCACTATCACAAACAAAACTAATGCCATCAGCATGCATCTATGCATAAGGATTGAATATGCCTTCTCAAGATCTACAAAGATCGGACCTCTCATCTTCAGAAACATCAACCCTCCGATCATATTTCAACAATCATAAACTCAAAGGATATCTAAATCCTCCACCAACTACTAAAAGGCAATGAAGGAAGGTTTTCTCATACGAGAAGCATCCAATAATGATGCCATATGCTCTAACTATTCTATCACCAACCTCAAAACGATAATGAAAATACAGTTTAATTTCTCTCACGTCTTCATGCAAATCCATGCTCGCTCCATAGATGGCACATTGCTTGCACCTCTTTATATACTTTCCATTCCTACTTTTTGTTGGTTTTATCGCTTGCACCTCTTCAGCAATTCCACCACTTGTCCCTCAAATGACACCACCTCATACATCTATTCATCCAACTTCGACGCCATCTACTTAAAAGCGTTGTCACCTACTCATTTTCTTGCATCTTTGACACTTGTTCCTATGATAATTTTGTCATATGCACCTCTCTATGAGCTGCAATGCCCACTCAACTAGATTTTTTCCATTACCTCATGCAACTTCGAGACCCACTTCTTAGTCGATACGTTGCTTAGCTACATTACTTCATGTAGCTTCACATTTCGTTCCTTGGTCATGTTGCTACCACCTACAACTTTTTTGTTGCTCCAAAACTGACTAAAACATGTATACTGCTTCTTCCAGCATTCCAATCTTTCATAATCGATTGTGTCACCAACAATTCCACAGCATTATCCTCAAGTGACCATGTTGCTTGCATTGTTTCATGTGGCTTCACAGCTAGCTCCTTAGTGGGTAATGTCACTTGCATTACTTTATGAAACTTTGATGCATGCTCCTTAACTAGCTAAGTCATTTGCACCCATACATGATGCCGTAATATTTGCTTCTCAATAGGTTTCATCACCTACACTCTTTCATGCAGCATCATAACTTAAGTCAGCTAAGATTCCCACACTTTACATGTAGACATGGAGTTCGCTCCCCAACTGTCTAATGCATATGCACAATTGCATGAAGCTCAAGCATTTTCTTCTCAATTATTCACATCACCTCCACTCCTTCAAACAGCTTCATCACTCAAGTCAGCCACATTGCCCACACCTTACATGCTGCTGTGGAGTTCATTCCTCAGTAAGTCGCATCACCTACACTATTTCATGCAGCTTCATTGCCTAAGTTGACCACATTGCCCAGGCCTTTATATGTGGTTGCAGTCTTCAATCCTCAACTAATTATGTCACTTGTACTATTCACTGTGACTTCTTAAATTAGGTCAGCCTATCACTTATACCTCTATATATAACTTTGTTGTCTACTCTTTTGGTCATATAACCAACTATTTCATCAATGCTACATTCTTAGTCAAGAAGACTTCGTCAATAAGTCATCCTACCAAGAGTGCCTCATTCAAAAAAAATCCAAGAAAGAGGATTTTAAAGAATATTGATATCTTAAAAATATTTCCATCTAAAGATCAACTTTGATACTTTTATGAAGTTATCAAACTACGAAGAATTGGGGGTAAACCAAGAAAAAATCCTTTTACACAATGGAATTTCAAGAACATCAATGCAATCTCCCCTCACATTAATTGTTCTACAATGATTAGCTTAAGGTCTCAATTAGACTTCAATCCCAATGGGGTATGCATGTGATATCAAAATTGCGGTTACAATAAAAAGGGATATTGATCAAACCAACATATCCTCGAAGCCTATTATATATCAAATAAATACCGCAAAGAATTTTCAAGATTGTAAAATATTTTGTAATGACCCCTCTATATTTTATAGTGCCCACAAACTTCAACGAATATTGTCACTTCCAATGTGCTTGAAAGGAGCAAGAAAGGTGGAATTCATAGACTTCACTGTGCTTGAAGCAGCATCGTGCAACCCAAGTGCCAATAATAATCATGGAGAGCAAAGGACAAAGGCTCAAGCTTTTCTTAAAAGCAACACAACACTTTAAAAACATCCAAAATGCGCAAGTATCGTATATATCTGCTCAAAGTATCAAAATTCCCTTCGTTTAAATGCCTATAAATATCCACAAAAAGGCAAGGTAAAAGACCCGTCTGAGCTCTAATTCTTTCATCCCAAATAAAAAACTCTAATTAATTTATTCAACTTTTATTTGCTTTCAAACTCAGTCACTGACTTGTGCACTGAAGGATTTTCTTGGGAACAAAGTCACCTGCTAATCTTTTTATTAAAGTTGATCGTAGGGTATACAGTTCAGGAAGATCCGTCTACTCAAACTCAGCTTTGAAGATACGACATGCAGTAGAACTCAATTTCTGCTATCAAGAAGCATTTGCTTAAAAGTTACTTTACCTAATCATATCGACAAGAAAACCTAATTGCAAGCATATAACTTTCGTTCAAGATTATGACCAAATATTAGGCCAAGAAGAAGCCATTTTAGATATCTATAACAATTCAAAAGCTCGGCTGCACAAGATTCTGCCAATAAAGTATAAACAACTTGAACACAAATGGGCATTTCAACAAAGGAGGAATGCATGTCCTCGATCACTTGAAAGGTAATACAACTATCTGAGAAATCGCAGACGAAATCTACCAGTTCATTAAGACAAAGGAGTTCTGCATTAGTTCACTCGAATTCTTAATGCCGGTTTTTTTCCGTATGTTCATTTTTTTAAAGAGTTTAGGGCTGTTATTACCTGAAAGTGCTGACGAAGGAAGAGCCCGGAGCTCCATCGGAGGAGCTTCTGCCTTCCTCCAAGGCCGCAAAGTTTTGCTCGCAAGGAACGACCACTCGGCTTTCCATCTTATTTCGTGAAGTCATCCAGTGGCTCCCAACAATGAGTGGTCACAAGTAGTTTTCAAGGTCAAGCACATCTATGCCTAGTTTGGTTGGGCGGCTCAGTCAGTTAGAGCTAAATAAAATTAAGCACAGCTTATCTTGATGTATTGGTTGAGAGTTTAGACTTCTAATTAAAAGATTTTGGGTTTCAGTCCTTGTGTATAAATTTGTCTTAAATGACTTAAATATCCCAAAACAAATAAAATTAAGGTAAAAAGAATACATATTTAAAATTTTGATTTAGTTTAAATAAATAAATGAATATAGATAGTTTTTTTTTTTTTAAGTTTGAAGTAAAATGAATGCAATATAAAACTAAATTATAGTTGTGATTGGTGATTGGCACGCATGTTGGCAGGCAACAACCCGTGGCCATAGTTGTGATGATGGAGGTGGTCGCATGGAGTGATGGAGATAAGGGGCTAATGGCAATAGAAGGGCAACTTATGATGGAAATGATGAAAAAAGAATTTGACGATTATGTCAAAAATGAAATATGAAAAGAAAATGAATTCATCAAAACTTTTCTTTTCATTTATTTTTCAACAAACCTAACATCAAAATTTTCAAATCCCATATATTTAAAACACTTTGCATTGCTTTTCTAACAAACAAAATAGCCTTTTAGTTTTAAACCTGTCACCCCTTTTGTGCTGTCATTTCAAACTTATAATCTCAAGTTTTAAGGAAATGTCTGAATGATCATTTCAGGTCTTTTTTTATATATTTATATGAATATTGTATGATAAATTATTATGTGCAGAGTCCAATTACAAAGAATCGTTCGGTTTTGTCACAGTGAACAATGAAAATGGATGGATGAACAGTAACTGTGCTTTTACTATTCACTGTCACAAAATCGAACGGTTCTCTGTGTCAAGATTATGCCAGTAATAATCTCTCCTATTGTATATGAAGAATGATGGTCTACCCTTCTAAACTTCGGCATTCTGCATTGCTTTCAATATCATTTCTTTTGAAATTTCATCACCAATATGGGTAAGACAATTGTAACAGTATATATATTAAGAGAAGGGGCAAGCCCACCTTCATTTCATATAAGAAAAAGTAAATGTACAATTACAAATAATAAAACATTCACTGTATAACTGCAAACAAAAACCTGCAATGCTCAAAAGTAATGAGGTGCATCATAACCATTACTTTCCTATGGTTCATTTTATCACTTAGTGCTTATGATTTTATGTTATGAAATGTTATCATCCACTCTTTTAGCTCCTGTTTACAATTTTATAGTACAGGAGTAGTTTTTGCTTAGTTTGGCTATTTTCAAAAAGAGAATGAGATCTCTTGATGGTATATCTTTTTCTAGGGAAGAAGAACATAAGTTAGCTTTTTTACATAATACAATTTTATATAGTTATCACTATTTCTTTGCTTGTTTCTTTATGCTACCTGCTTCTTCCACAACACACCACATCAAAATTGGTATCAAAGATGGCGGCTTGGTAAGATGGCAAGAGGTAGTAAGCATGTGGCGGGATATGAAGATCATAGCCTGAAAGCTCTCTGGGTTGCACATGTTGGAGTAGCTAAACAGCTGGACAACAAATCTGCCGAGTTTGTGAAGCTTACGATTGAAGTTCGGCGAGCGCTACAGGTAAGTGGAAATGTCGATAGGCAGGAACGGAAGATGGTGCCCATAGCCACACTTGGGATAAGGCCGACGGGGCAGATGAACCAAGAAAGAAGGCGAGCTCCCCTGTTTGACGATATCACATATTCTGACAAATAAGGTAGAAGCTACATTCCAAATGTGTTATTGAACTCAGATGGAGGTAATGTAACCTATCAACCCATCGACCTGCGGAGTTTGATCGCCATCAAGGAGAGTTCTGAGTAAACTGAATATGCCATTTTTTGACGCGCAGTTGCACATCGAAGACTACCTGGATTGGGAGCAGGCTGTTGAGAATTTTTTGATTATATGGAGATAGAGCCGGACAAACAAGTCAAATATGTAGCTTGTAGATTAAGTGGGGCGCAACCGCTTAGTGGTCACAGTTGCTCCAATCTAGGAGAAGCGAAGGTCATAGACCTATGCAAAGTTGGATTCGAATGAAGTAATTTTTATGATCACACTATTTACCCACTGATTATGAGCAATTATTATACTTGAAATATCAACATTGCATCCAAGGTAATCAATCAGTGAGTGAGTATATATAAGAATTCAATCATCTTTTTACTATAAATTATTTGAATGAAACTGCCAATATATTGGTGGCTAGATATATTGGTGGGTTGAACGATTCAATATACAATAAATTGGAATTAAATTCAATGTGGTCATTGTCCCAAGTTGTGAATTTTGCACTTAAGGTGAAAATTCAACAAGCTCGTCAGTTCTGCAGCAATTCACATAAATGACACTCTTTAGAGAAGATCATAGATACCGTCAAACAGTTTGGTCCATCAGCTAAAAAGGCCACCTCGCATGCTAAACACAACAGTGCGTGCTAACAACACAATCAAACCTGTCGGAGATAATATATTCTAACCCAAATCGAAGGCTCCAACTAAATACAACCCTTACTCTAGACCTTAAGTCATAAAATGCTTCTAGTACTTTCAACAAGGCCACAAGTCGACAAATGCCCCAATCGACAATAATTACAAATGTTAGAAGCATAGGACAAAGAAATAGGGGAAATTGCAAGAAGATGAACTACACATTGATGTTGAAGACATGATCAGTTATGAAGGGGACCTGCTCGTGTGTGTTTTAGAAAAGCTCTTACTGGCTCCACAAAAGCTGAATAATTCCCAACAACATGTCATCTTTCGAACCAAATGTACTATAAGCAGCAAGGTTTGCGATATGCTCATCGATAGTGGGTGCATAGAGAATGTGGTTTCGCATGCAGTGGTGCAAGCTTTACATATTAAAACATAAAAAAAAACCCCACAACTTCATAACATAAGTTGGGTTAAGAAGGGAATGGATATTTTATTGTCGGGAATGTGTAAAGTTACTTTTTCTATTGGCAAACATTACACGTTCGAGGTGCTTTGCAATGTGTTAGAAATGAATGTTTGTCACTTGATATTAGGAAGGCCATGGAAATTTGAAATGGGCACAATCTACGTGTAAGGGCTAACACTTACTTATTTGTCTAGAAAGGGAGGAAGTTGTGATTACTCTCTCAAGGTGTTTGGAGCAATATTCAAGGCAATGAAACTAAAGCTGCAATGTATGTGGTGCTTGGATCCACCCATTTGGCTTCTTGGAAAGAAACATCCCTCATGTTAGCATTTTCATCAAGGAACAGATAGCTTCTATTGCATCTCCTACTACCAATTAGAAGGTAGTTGATCTCTTAAGGCAATTCCAAGATGTAATGATGGAAGCATCGCTAGTAACTCTACTTCCATTACGAGTATTGCAACATCAAATTGACTTTGTGATGGGATCAACCCTCCCCAATCTTCCTCATTATAAGATGAACCCAAAAGAATATCCAATCCTCCAGCAAATTGTAGAAGAGCTTTTGGAAAAGAAGCTGATTCAGTCGAGCCTTAGCTCGTGTGCAGTCCCGGCTTTACTTGTGCAAAAGAAGGACAGTAGTTGGCAAATGTGCGTGGACAGCTGGGCCATTAATAAAATAACTGTGAAACTTTGATTTCTAGTACCAAGAGTGGAGGACTTATTGGAAAGACTATCAGGAACAACGATGTTCTCAAGTTGGACCTCTGCAGCGACTACCACCAAATTCGGATTCATCCCAGAGATGAGTGGAAGATAGCTTTTAAGACACATCAAAGGCTGTATAAATGGAAGGTAATGCCCTTTGAGTTATACAATGCACCATCCACTCTTATGAGATTAATGAACAAATTTCTTAAACCCTTAATCTATTTTTTGTGGCTTATTTTGATGATATTCTTGTCTATAGCTTCTTATTGGATGATCACCTAGTTAACCTAACAAGCATTCTCTCAGCTTTGAAACAAAGCCAGCTATACTTAAACCCATCTAAGTTTGAGTTCGCCTCCCCATATGTCTATTTTTTGGGCTTTGTAATATCTACCAAGGGAGTCCATGTCACGACCCGACCCGACGGGGACGGATCCCACCCGAGCCGGACCGCGACCAAACCTCTTTATCCAGGATCTGGCTTTGGAATTTGGTTACTGAACTGAATCTTCCAAATTAATCAACTCAACAGACACACAAACACAGAACAACAGAGCTACTATAAGTCACCAAATGCAGCGGAACAAAACATCTATATTTTCATTTTCCTCAAAACAATCATGTCCCAGGACGATCCAGATCGTCCTGGACGATCCTGGAGCAGATTTTTGATATTACAGTCCAAGCTTACCAGCAAAAAATAATTGTTATTGCCGAGTGCTCTACCCTAAAATCATTCTTTACTGTGTGTAGTTTCCATGGCATTGCAAACTTTTATTGTCGATTTATCTGAGGCTTTAGCCTCATTATGGCGCCACTAACAAATTCTCTCAAACTGAAGCAGTTTTAATAGACTGAGAAATAGCAAAAAGAGCTTCAAGATCATTAAGGATGCTTTGTCATTGGCTCCCATACTTGCTCTCCCAAACATTGAAAGGCCATTTCATGTTGACATGGACGCATCAGCAACCGGCATTGGGGCTATCTTATGTCAAGAGAATCGGCCAGTGGAGTTCTTCAGTGACAAAATTGTGCCTAGCCCATCAAAGGTGGACCATCTACGAGCAGGAGTTATACGTCATTGTGAGGGCTTTGAAGTAGTGGGAGCACAATCTACTGCACCAAGACTTTGTCCTACGCAGCGATCACAAGGTGTTGCAGTATATCAACAATCAAAAGCATATCAACCATATGCATGCTAGGTGGATTTTATTTTTATAAAAAGTTTCATTTGTTTTAAACATAAAACAGGTGGCTAAAACATTGACGTGGATGCTCAGTCGGCGAACGACTCTCCTCTCTCAACTATAGTTCGAGATTACCATGTTGGAATGCTTAAGGAACTTTACATATAG